TATTAATATACTAGTAAATATAAGGATAAACAAATCAAAAAATATAAGAGTGAGAATACCATAAAAAAAATAAATAAAAAAAAAAAAATAAAACCCGCGGGCGGGCCAATTTGGCCCGCGGGCTAATGCGGGCGGGCCACGGGCTATGGATTTCCCAGCCCGTAGAAATGAGGGCCATTTTGGCCCACCCCGTTTGAACAGCGGGCCGGAGTGGGCCGGGCCGGGCCGGCCCGTTTGACAGTGCTAATATCGGGTCTAGGGGTACCTTTATTTTTCTCTCTATTTTTTTTTCTAGCATATTTGAGGACTTGCTTACTTTAGTTTAGTTTAAATTGCGTTCTTAGTTTAATCCAAACCCCAAATTGCGAGTAGAGTGTTTAGGATTTTATTTTATTTTCTTGTGTGAGTCGATCGTTGTTTGAATCCGTGTCCGAATAACCTTCCTTTAAGAACGACCCGAGTCCGGGTAACTCGGTTACCAATTGCCCAAAAATACTACAAACAGTAAGTTCTATGTGAAATTTAATTTATGCAAAGATTTATATTCTATGAATTGATAGAATTACATGCTCAGTTGTAAAACCTAGGTTTGAATTAGTTTAGGATTGAACGACTAATTATTTAATTCGGGTTGAATTAAATTGTGTAGAAAAATTATGTGTTCCGAGTAGATACATGTTGTCTATTTATTTTCTCAAAACTGATTTTCAGTGAGTAAAATAAATGATTAAAGTTAGCCATAAATTGACACGTAAAACTATGGTTCTGGGATGAGATTTATTTTATTTGTTATAATAAAAAGAGTTGGAGAGGTCGCAACAACAACAACAAAGCTATGCATCAAATGTTGATATTCGCAATATGCGCGCACGCCTACCGACTCGGCTCGTGCTCGGGCACAGAGCTAGGCCTGAGACTTAGATCTTGGTCTTGGTCTTAGGCCATGTTACTTGGACATGGGGTCTTGGGTCGTAGTACTTGAAAATTGGACTGTGGGGACGACTGGAGCAACATTGAATGGTCCTATTCGATATTGGGCTTGGTCCTTGTGCCCAACCACTATATATCTTTTTGCTGCAATTTTATGTGTAAATTTGTGGACCAAATTGAAGTTCAATTCTATAAGCGTAGATTATCTACACATTAACTAAATTACATGTATATCTACGGCTACAAAAGACAATGAAATATGATAACATTTCCCATTAATTAAATGAGTAAAACATTCAATTGCCATTAAAACTAAACAAACTTAAACTAGACTTGCCTAAACCGAGCATGTTCCCAAACCAAAAGTTTACCTCATTTGCACCTCAAATTGCGCAACTCAAATAAGCAAAATTGGGAATATGAAAATGCTCCTCGCTTTTAATGTTAGATAGACTCCAAAGCTAACTTTTGAAAACGGCAAAAAGGTTTCTTCTTTTACGACACCTGTACCTGAAAAATCAAACTGCACAAGGAAAAAGGATATACAAACTACAAATGAAGTTAAATATGCATCACAATATACTAATCACGAATTATTGTTTGAAATGGAGTTTTTATTAAATCACAAATTATTGTATAAATGAAAGTTTTAACCATTAGACATGTCGACCCGTCACATTACTTGTACAAAAATACATTTTTACTATCGAATGTCATATTATTGTTTATATTGTTCAGTTAGATTAATGATTAGGCCGACCTAATGCAAAAACCATCTATACTAAATTCATTTTCATTTGAGTTTACCATTGTACAAAAAATTGTGCCACGTATTTTGTTTAATTGATTATTTATCTTATCATTTTCCCGTCAATCAGCATTAGCAAACACGCAGGAATAAACAATCCAGGCCATCGTCCCTTGACAAATGATACAAATTTCTATCTAAACAAGGAAAAAGAAGGAAAATGGATAAAATATAGAATATTTTCTATGATTTTCTTACCCATTAATGCGTGAATGACGTTTTCAATTTAGCATTTTACTTACTAGTCATAGTCCAAAAAACAATAAGCAATCCAAAAAAGGGCAGAATATGAAGAAAGTCGCGCCGTAAAATCTATAGAGATTGTGAGATGAAGTAAGGACAAATTAATAGGTTTTGCTGGAAAGTTTTATTACATTTTAATTTGGTCACTTTTGAGATGTTAATATTAGAAAATCGACATATGTATATTGACATTTTGTACAAAAGAAAAATATTGCAGATTAGGTTTTTGGTCATTTTCTAGAATTCAGTGTTAGAAAATTGACCTATGTGAATCGACATTCTGTACAAAAATAATATCGAATTTTGAGAGGATAACTATAGCGGCCACTAGGGTTGTTATCGAACCGAACCGAACCGAGCTTCAGGTGTTCAAGCTCGAGTTCGACTAATTTTTGAACATGTTCGTGTTCGTTCGTTTAGTAAACGAACAAAAAATTTCGTTCGTGTTCGTTCGTTTATTGGTTCGAATTGTCCGTGTTCGTTCGTTTATCTAGTCGAACTTGTTCGTGAACTGTTTGAATTGTTCGACAACTTCGTGTTTCAATTGTCCGACATGTTCGTGTTCGTGTTTGTGTTTTTTTAAAATCAAAATTATAATTTTTTTATCTGATTAAGCGATTATTTTTTTAAATAGATTAATTTGTTTTAATGTCATAGTAAAAATCGCATAAGCAATTGTTAGAATAACTTTTGTATTTTGAAAAAATTGCACCATTAGTCCACTAACTTTGCCCTAGTTGCACTTTCGTCCTTTAATTTGTTCTTTTTTATAAATGGTACACTAACTCTTTTTTTTAGCAATTTTGGTCCAAAATCACATTCCGGTGACCATTTTGCTGATGTGGCGGCCGGAATAGCTGATGTGGCGCTTGGTCATCTCGGAATTTCTGATGTGGCAAGAGCTGGGCCCATTTGTTTTGACAAATTGGCAAAATATGGAAAAAAAACAAAAATATAATAAAATCAATTTTCATTAAACAAAATAAAAAAAAAAAAAAAAAAAGAAATCACTTTGGGGACATAAATAAGAGCATCTCCAACCCACTCTTCATACAAGCAGGAAACGGGTGGGTTAGAGGAAAATCATCTCCAATCGTCCCTGTACTTTTGGCGGAAACGGCATAAGTGATTTTGTGGAACGGTTGACACATGTCAACCGTTCCACTGTTCACAAACGCTAGGTTTTTTTCTTTTTTTTTTGTTTAAAATGAATTTGGATTTTTATTTTGGGCCTATGTTATGAACTTAGATTTTTCTTAATCTTTGTTTTCATTTTTCTGTATTTTTGGTAGATAGATGAGAGTGATTGGAGCTCTGGGGGGAGATAGATACAGAGAGATAAATAAATGGGGGAAGAGAGGTGAGACACGAGAGGGAGATAGGAGAGAGAAAGTTGAGGGAGAAAATAGATTTAATGTATTTTAATATAATTTTAGTATGGTAAATTAATAAATGTAATATGATATAATTTTAATTAATATGGTAAATTATAATTAATATGGTAAATGGTATAATTTTAATTAATATGGTAAATTAATAATTTTGATATGATATATTTTTAAAAATTAATATGATGAAATCCATGTGGTTTTATGATGTAGTGTGTAATTTTGTCATTTTGATTTAAATTTATTAATTAATCTTATTAATCAATATTAATATATATACATAAATATGTAAATTTTAGCAAGCATAATGTATTAAAATGTAATTTGTAGATATTATTTAATAAACTAATTAAATTAGAAAATAATATGCTTGGAATATTATTTTAGAGGGGATTTATTATAGAGGGAATGGGTTGGAGTTGGTGGTACTGTTGAAACCGTATAACTAGTGGGATTTTACTGTAGAAACTGTATGTACAGATGACATGGTTGGAGATGCTCTAACAAAACTAAACGAAGATGGAGAACGAAAGTACACAACAAATGCCCAAAATTACCAGGTTTATTCGTCACTAAAACGACGACGTCGCCATGAACGGACCCGTCGAGTTGGGCCCGGTGAATTGACCGGAAATTGGAGCCTCCGCGGGAGACAAAAACCGCCATCTTCTTCCTTCGAAGTTCTTCGCTTGGTTTTGCGTCACTTTCTTCCTTAATGAATACCCCTTTGCACTCTATCACTTGACTTCCATTGCTGCATTTCGACTTGATTTGGGCACGCAACGGGCGTGAAGAAAAAGAACAATTGATTTTGAGAGAAACCCATTTGGGAGAACGAATATTCGACGCGTTTGGCATTGAATTGGTAACGGAGGCTTTGATTGAGAAAGTGGGGAAATCCAAGGAAGCCCTGGGAATAGCTTTCGTCGCCATGGGAACTGAAATTTGCAGAGTCGGGCCGAATCTCACCCGATTACCCACAGTCCCTCACCCTCACCCTCATAAAGAAAATTGATTTTATTATATTTTTGTTTAAATACTGAGGGCTTATAATCTAATCAAATAAGTTATAAGGTAGCTTATTGTTTATTGTGTTTTTGTCGTTATATTCGTGTGTTTTGTGTGTTTTATTTTATAGTTTTAGGCTCGTTTTTGTGTCGACCAGTCCATTTTATCATGTTTTGTGTATTTTTGTTATTGTATAGTGTTTTCGTATTTTTGCGTGTTTTCTCTTTTGTTTTGGTGTTGAATAGGTCCAACGTGTTGAGAATGAGGAGATGAGCCGTCCGCGCTGACCGAGCCGTCCAACCCGGAAAATCCGACCAAGCCATACCGGGACGAAGAGAATTCAATGAGGAGAATTTTGGTCCAAGTTTCGTGCGAATTGGAGTTGTGTGCGAAAAGTTAAAGCTAAACGAAGTCGCACAACCCGCACGCCACTGCAGCCCAGCGTGCCTGCAGAAGCAGCCGCGGGCTCGAGAGTGTTGCATCCCCCAGCGCGTGCCCGCGGAGAAGGCCGCGGGCTCGAGAGTGTTGCATCCCCCAGCGCGTGCCCGCGAAGAAGGCCGCGAGCTCGAGAGTGTCCCAGCACCTGTAGCGCGCGCCCGCGGAGAAGGCCGCGAGCTCGAGAGTGCCCAACTCTACACACTCGCGACCCCGCGCCAGTAGCCGCGACTTCGAGAGTCCCCCGTGCCCATGCACCTGTGCCCCGCGCGCCCGCGAATCCTCCCGCGAGCTCAGGAGTGTCCTATTAAATGTGCATGTTTTTAGTGTGTGTTTGTGGTGTAGCTATATAAAGACATTATGTTTTGTATTTTGGGAACAACCCTCATTTCCCAACTTTTAAGTTGGAAAATCCTCTCCATTTTCTCTCATTTATTTTTTTTTTATGCTTTGGTTGGAGACTCATGACTCGATTTTTCCGGTGAAATTCCGGCAACTTTATTTTCGATCAAGATTTGAGTTTTACGCACTATTTTCGTCTACGCATGCGATAGGAGGGTGAGTACCTTGCTTAGGGCTAATTACTTCGAGTTTGTTTTTCGATTTGTGTTGATGTTCGATTCTAGGTTTTCGCTCTATTTTCATTGCTTGCTTTGGTGTGTTAGGATTCGATATGTGCTTATCTAGAAAGATTTCGACTTTGCTCAAAGCGTAATGATTTAGTGTAGAAATCTCGTGTTAGAAGACCTAGGATCGCTATGCTTGCATGATTTCTCTTGTTATTTTTCTTTTTCTTGAGTCATGGGGATTCCGGTAGACTAAAGTTTCGATCTTTTTCTCTATATTTGCATTTTCCATGATTCGCCCTTAGATTCGTAGTTCAAGTGCGTGCAATCATCCCCCAATCAAGCGAGTAGCATGTTTAGGACCTTGTTTTCGATTTTGTGACTTTGACGACTAGATAGTGAACGAAGCTCCGAAGAGCCTTCCTTTGAGAACGACCCGAGTCGGGTAGATCGGTTACCACATGCCCAAAAATATTACAAACAAAATGGCGCCGTTGCCGGGTGTGGGGCCTCGATTCGTAAAGATTCATTTCTCCTCTTGTTGGTTGTCGAAATCCGTGCTCGGTTTCACAAGAGCGCGGCCACGAGAGCTTAATTTGCCCGCCTTTGTTCCGT